AGCGGTCATGGCCGCGGCCGCTAATCCTCATTGGAACGCAGTTGCCAGCTGTGGTATGCCGTGGCACACGGTTAGTGGGTAGTTCCACAGCTGCTGCTTTTGTGCAGTCCCGCTACCACACAAAGGCTGTGCAGTCATGCGGGCCACTTGCTCTATGTGTGGAGGAATGTCCCCATTACACCCCGTCCTTAAGGGGTTAAAAAGAGATTATTCCACAATTTACCGCAAACCTCGCTAGTATAATTATACACTTTACCGCCATGCAAAGTTTCCAATCTTATTCAGCCATTTTAATTAATCAGATATCTATAGAAACGAAGCAGAATTTGTGGATGAGGCGTCATTAAGCGTAACATACTATTCACCGCTAGGTACAGTAAAACTATGTTCAATGGGCGTTCTATTTTCTCCCCAAATAGAACTGTCCATACAATATTTGAAGAATTGCATAATGAATTTAGCAAAACCATAAAGTATAGGTAGCACATATCATACATTTCTTTTTGAGTTTGTGAGGTTCCGAGAAGAACCATGGAATGTTCAACAATTCGGAGAGTATAGGTCTACACTGTCCGACACTTGGTGCTACCTTAAACTTTATGTTATGGAAATCTTCATGGGATCAATTTGGAAGATGGGCAGATCTAGCCTTCAGGAATCGGGAGGGGGTTGAGTGAACGGCAGACCCTGTCAGAGGGTTGCGGGGCATGCCCCATGTAAAAAAAATTAAAAATCGCTAGATTAAATTAAAGCACATGTAGCATTTAAAACAAATATTTCAGCCCATTTGTTATTTCTTCCCGCCATAATTGATTACAGTCGTACCTCACCATATTGTTATGCCGACAGGTAAACGTAGCCATGAACCATACCCATGCAGAACAGAAAAACCTATAAAAACGTTATTTTTAGATAAGCATATGTTGCATAAACTCCAACGACGCTATCGATGTCAATATTGATGTCTACTGAGTAGCTGCAGCGCAGTAAATATATTGACAAGCTTTCTTTGGGAGCAGGATATCTAGGTAATTAATATTCATGAGAATAAAGTTGGAAAAAAAGAAATTATATGAAAACCTTTTCAGCCAGGATTTTTCATTGGAAAATTATCCCCGATGCTGCAAGAAGTCTGTCGTCATCGTAACAAGTACAACATATTTTATGTAGTTTTACTGAAAGTACAATGCTAAATGAATATAACTTGGGGAAAAAAGAAGCATTTTACAATAATCAAAACATTACTATTCAAATGGTCAGTGAGTGACGCTTAACACAAAGTTTATGGTGACGTCATCACTCGTGAGGCAGCTCTTAGCGTCACGTAGAAATTAAAAATTAAAAAAGGACAATATATTTTTCAGATTTTCGGTCGGTTTACCCACAAACATACTTTGACAGTAACAAAATATACTCTGCAAGGTGTGTAAATGATGACATCATCAGACGCAGAGTTAGTCAGGGGAGAATATGAAACTGATCATCTTTCACTTGTTTAATCGCAATCCATTTTCAATGCCCAGCAAAACAATTGCTAATATCATCACAATATGGTGATATAGGCATCCGAATATTGTGACGTCATCAAACCAAAGATAATTTCCAATACAAGATAATTTCCAATATTTTTCCTGTTGCAGCCTTTGGTCAATTGATAAAATACTTAAACTGAGACATTTGCATTTGATTTGTTTAATTAATCAAATACATCTAGAAAATAAGCAGAATTTGTGGGTGAGGCCTCACAAAACGAACACAGACTGCTGTGATGCGAGGAACAGTAAAACTGTGATCCAGGTAGCGTTCTATTTTCCCAAATGTTCATGGGATCACCAATATAGAAGGCTACTTTCAATCACATGTTACATTCAGTACAATATTGTACTCCATTGTTAAGTGTGTTTAATTTTTGTGGTTGGCCATAACCGATTGCAATTGTACGTTACCAGTTTTCTCTCATCTTAATGCAGCAAATTAATATTTTGTACAGAGTAGCGACAAACCATTTTCATAACCTCAGAGCAGAATTTTATTACGCCCATGCAAAGACTGAGAAAAAGGCAATAAATCATGTATTTTTAGATAAACATATGTTGCATAAACTCTAAGGGCATTAGAGACTCCCTCAAACTCTAAAAGTCTGCTGACACTGACTCTATTTTTGAGTGTCCATAATGTGAGCGAAAGATATATGCGCTTTAACCCTAAAGGGGCCGGGTTATTTTGACCATTTCTCAGCCGGGGGGGGGGCGGATTCGGCCCCCCCCCTAAGATCTCGGCTATCGAGTGACGAAAAATTTTGAAACTATGCACATGCATAGAGCAACTCTTCCTAAACATACCCAAGAAATTTCATGACTATAGGTCAAAGGGTTTTGGAATTATGGCTAATTAATTATTCATATGTACGAATGGCAATTCTGCTCTGTGTACACGACGTATATGGGGAAATTCAGTTTTCACGGCGCATAGCGCCGGAAAATTTTTCGCTACCCGGCAACCCGTGGACCGATTTTTATGTTTTTGGTATCAAAAGATGCGCAAAGCTCGACGCTAAAAAGTCATAACAGCTCGGGTCGCGAAAATTTTTTTTTTAGAGACTATCACGGAAAATGTTGAGGGGGGGGGGGCGGATTCCGCCCCCCGGCCCTTTTAGGGTTAAAAAGTAGGTCATGTCTTTCGCAACAATGTCAAATTTGTTTGGTAGTCTATGTAATGTATTATTTATAAATGTATGTGAGCTGAATCGGCGATTATTTATGCAAAAAAAAAAAATCGGGTCTCGTCATGGATAGCTATGAATAAAACCAAGACGCGGCATCTATTTTTCTTTTTTACTCTGTGAATTTAGCCAAAAAAAACCGTCTGCGGTCACGCGCTCTGTAACGATTATGTCATGCGATATGTCGGCAATAGAGCCGGGCAATCACGGTCGTTTCCTTGTTTTGTAGATCTATGTTCACTCGGCCGTTGTTGTATTACAAAAACACTGCATCCAAATCGACCAATCACAGTCTTAGTCCAGATTTTGGAATGAAATGACGTCACGATTAATTAAAGTCGACTCCGATAGGCTGGCGCGTGTGGTCGCATAAATTTGCATTTTTTTTTCAACCGGAGATAGGGCTCTGCGGACAACGGGTGATACTCAGACTAACTTTTGGGTGATCGGGTAAAAAGCCGGTCACCGTTTTAGAATTGTTCGAGTTTTCTTCCTTTCTAATAATTCTCCCCTTCTTTTCCTCATAACTTCCAACGTCCGCAAGAACTTAAAACTTGGCATAAACATCAACTCTAGTGCAGAGGTGTGCATATTACCATAACTCGCGATGACGACATCAGTATCCCATCCGATTTTAGTTCAAAGAAAAAAAACTGACCATATTCTTTCACTTAGAACTATGGAAAATTGACAATCACGTTCATTCGAGAATCCTTTAAATAAAAAAAAAAACAGCAGTTCCTTCGAAACGCGTCAAGGGATGAAGATGAAAACTGGAATGACTGGAATTTTGTCACGAGTGAATATCTATGTATTGAATGAAATCTATTAAATCAAACAGGATAATATTTTCTTTTACATTTAAAATCGAGCTGTTTAGTGCTAGTAATTATCCAGCTGCACAGTTTTTCGCACTCTGCGGACGTGTAAGAAACAACATTGTTGTGTGTGTATTATGTACCACACGCATAACGTGTACGCTGCATTGAATAGACACGGCTTGAAATACGTAAGGGTATATGTCACAAATGCCGTCGCGTCCGATGTAAGCAACAGGCGTTTTTCGCCTTTTCTAGAGGAACGGGATCCGGAAGACATTAGGTTTGTTTTCTTTCAACCAGACCGTTGAAATAGAATAAGTAAACAATCCAAAACATGACATTTTTGGGGAACTCAGGCCGTAACACCCCTTTAATAGTCTTATTCGTGTTTTACAACACTATATAGTTACCATATGAAATGGTGCGAATACGGGATACGTACGCGGCTCCGAAAAAGTTATAATTACTTTTTAAATCACCCATTTGTGTGGTTCTTTAATCAGGCGCACCATGGGTAATGTATATGATGTAGGGTTTGTGAAATGACCACCTAATCAGAGACCAATTTCATAGAGCTGCTTAAGCACAAAATTTGCTTCAGCACAAAATTTGCTCAATAAAATCAGGCTACCGGCCAAAACTCCATGCGATTGTTATGCTAAGTAAACAACAGCTAAATTCCAGTCACAAGCAATGTACATCGCATGGAGTTTGGGTCGGTAACCTGATTTTACTAAGCAATGTTTTTTCGTGCTTAAGCAAATTTTGTGCTCAGGCAGATCTATGAAATTAGCCCTAGATGTTATGTGTGAGCTGCATATATGTTCGTTCGTTATTACTATAGAGATTTACTTCTTGTCACCGATAATCACATATGCGCATGCGTGTATTAATTATAACTTATGAGTAATGGTCCACGGGCGAACATCTGGTATAGTTTCACGTTTTTTTTGGGGGGGGGGTTGTTATTTTTTTTATTTTTTTGCCCAAATATTCAGATGTGTTTCAACAAAACTGGCAATGGATAACTGGTCCTCTGACACTTGAACCCAGCTACTACAAAGAAGTGTACTCGGCGCTGTTGTAGCGCATTCGTTCAGTAGACATCAAGTTGAAAGCAGCCAGTGCATTTCCGCCTCCTGACTTCGCTTTGGTTTTCAAGCCTGTTTCAACCTGAAATGTAAGCTTTGGATAAAAGCGGCTAGATTTGTTATGTCAGTTACTATGAAAGAAAAACGTCCCGTTTATTAAATTTGCTTATGATTAACGATAAGCTGTCACGGATATACGTTGACAATACATTTATAAAACGGCAATGATATACGCGGTAGGTTACTTTTACCGCGGCTTCTAAGCAAACTTCATAACTGATGTACGTCTTAAACGACGAAACAACCATATCGTTGCAAATTTCTTACTCTCTGTCTTTTTCTCCCTCGTTTTCCAAATTAGCAAGAATGAAGGTTTACATGTGCCTGGTTCTCCTGATGGTCGTTGGAGGTGCCTTGAGTTTCGCACCAAGAGACGGTAAGTTAGTTGGTTCAAAAGTTTCGTCATAATCCCCGGGCAACGGATTCTGCAAGTGTTTTTTGTAGCCACATTCGCGCAGCCCCGTGGGCCTATCGTATAATGTCATGCTTGAAAAAAAAAAAGTATTATTATAATTCGATTGGATAATTATTAACTTTCATCGAAGAGAAAAGAACACCCACTGTCAAAATTTTTCAAATCTCTTTGCTGAATTTCTGATGATGCCATCTAATTTGATATAGAAAAATAAAATTTAGGTTATATAACGACCAGTTGCTTACACACTGTCTTTTAGGTAGATGATCACTTTTGGCTGTTTTGGAATTTGTCCCCCAAAATTACCAAAGTTATATACCCGTACGAAGATTGATAAAAAAATGAAGCAGAACTGCGCAGCACTGTAGATAAGTAGTGCAAGTTCAAGCAGTGCTCACCGGGAATTTTGTACCTACAAACATTCAGCTACAAAATTCCCGGTGAGTACTTTTTGTACTTATGTTCATCATATATATATATATATATTTGAAGATTGTATCGTTGTTATCTTGAAGTGAAATTTGTGGATTCACCATAAAAATGTTTGTTTAATGTCATGCAGACTTTCTTCATGACAACTTTGGGAAAAGAAACTTTTCCGAAGGGGAATCTCGCGAGATGGCAGAGAGGCATGGTAAGTTCAGTGGTATTAGTAATTATACATATATACATTTTATTATTAGGAGATACAGGTTGACAGTTAGACATTTGGCCTACCACACATAAAAAGGTTTGGAAGGAACAGATGGCCAGACGTGTTTCAGTTGATTGTGTTTCTTGCAAATTTCAGGGACGTTTTATACATTAGCACACACAGCCTTTCACATTCAATCAGTTTTCCCTACATAAATCAAAAGGGCTTCCTGATAAGAGTGCATTCAATTTTGTTTGTGTGCACACAGTATTTTGCTTTAGTTACTCAATTATCTTTGAAATGTATTCAAGAGGACATTTTCATCCATAGGTTGAATTTCTACCATCTACTTTCAATCATATATCTGACAATTATCGAACCACGTTATTTTGAATTTGTTTACAATCAATTCGGGCGTTTCACAATGGGTTTTTTTGGTTCTTACTGCCTTTGGTTCTTCTGCAACATGTTTTTTTTTTTTTATTCAGGGCAACGGATTCTGCAAGTGTTTTTTTGTAGCCACATTTGCGCAGCCCCGTGGGCCTATCGTATAATGTCATGCTTGAAAAAAATAAGTATTATTATAATTCGATTGGATAATTATTAACTTTCATCGAAGAGAAAAGAACACCCACTGTCAAAATTTTTCAAATCTCTTTGCTGAATTTCTGATGATGCCATCTAATTTGATATAGAAAAATAAAATTTAGGTTATATAACGACCAGTTGCTTACACACTGTCTTTTAGGTAGATGATCACTTTTGGCTGTTTTGGAATCTGTCCCCCAAAATTACCAAAGTTATATACCCGTACGAAGATTGATAAAAAAATGAAGCAGAACTGCGCAGCACTGTAGATAAGTAGTGCAAGTTCAAGCAGTGCTCACCGGGAATTTTGTACCTACAAACATTCAGCTACAAAATTCCCGGTGAGTACTTTTTGTACTTATGTTCATCATATATATATATATATATTTGAAGATTGTATCGTTGTTATCTTGAAGTGAAATTTGTGGATTCACCATAAAAATGTTTGTTTAATGTCATGCAGACTTTCTTCATGACAACTTAGGGAAAAGAAACTTTTCCGAAGGGGAATCTCGCGAGATGGCAGAGAGGCATGGTAAGTTCAGTGGTATTAGTAATTATACATATATACATTTTATTATTAGGAGATACAGGTTGACAGTTAGACATTAGGCCTACCACACATAAAAAGGTTTGGAAGGAACAGATGGCCAGACGTGTTTCAGTTGATTGTGTTTCTTGCAAATTTCAGGGACGTTTTATACATTAGCACACACAGCCTTTCACATTCAATCAGTTTTCCCTACATAAATCAAAAGGGCTTCCTGATAAGAGTGCATTCAATTTTGTTTGTGTGCACACAGTATTTTGCTTTAGTTACTCAATTATCTTTGAAATGTATTCAAGAGGACATTTTCATCCATAGGTTGAATTTCTACCATCTACTTTCAATCATATATCTGACAATTATCGAACCACGTTATTTTGAATTTGTTTACAATCAATTCGGGCGTTTCACAATGGGTTTTTTTGGTTCTTACTGCCTTTGGTTCTTCTGCAACATGTTTTTTTTTTTTTATTCAGGGCAACGGATTCTGCAAGTGTTTTATGTAGCCACATTCGCGCAGCCCCGTGGGCCTATCGTATAATGTCATGCTTGAAAAAAAAAAGTATTATTATAATTCGATTGGATAATTATTAACTTTCATCGAAGAGAAAAGAACACCAACTGTCAAAATTTTTCACTTCTCTTTGCTGAATTTCTGATGATGCCATCTAATTTGATATAGAAAAATAAAATTTAGGTTATATAACGACCAGTTGCTTACACACTGTCTTTTAGGTAGATGATCACTTTTGGCTGTTTTGGAATTTGTCCCCCAAAATTACCAAAGTTATATACCCGTACGAAGATTGATAAAAAAATGAAGCAGAACTGCGCAGCACTGTAGATAAGTAGTGCAAGTTCAAGCAGTGCTCACCGGGAATTTTGTACCTACAAACATTCAGCTACAAAATTCCCGGTGAGTACTTTTTGTACTTATGTTCATCATATATATATATATATATTTGAAGATTGTATCGTTGTTATCTTGAAGTGAAATTTGTGGATTCACCATAAAAATGTTTGTTTAATGTCATGCAGACTTTCTTCATGACAACTTTGGGAAAAGAAACTTTTCCGAAGGGGAATCTCGCGAGATGGCAGAGAGGCATGGTAAGTTCAGTGGTATTAGTAATTATACATATATACATTTTATTATTAGGAGATACAGGTTGACAGTTAGACATTAGGCCTACCACACATAAAAAGGTTTGGAAGGAACAGATGGCCAGACGTGTTTCAGTTGATTGTGTTTCTTGCAAATTTCAGGGACGTTTTATACATTAGCACACACAGCCTTTCACATTCAAGCAGTTTTCCCTACATAAATCAAAAGGGCTTCCTGATAAGAGTGCATTCAATTTTGTTTGTGTGCACACAATATTTTGCTTTAGTTACTCAATTATCTTTGAAATGTATTCAAGAGGACATTTTCATCCATAGGTTGAATTTCTACCATCTACTTTCAATCATATATCTGACAATTATCGATCCACGTTATTTTGAATTTGTTTACAATCAATTCGGGCGTTTCACAATGGGTTTTTTTGGTTCTTACTGCCTTTGGTTCTTCTGCAACATGTTTTTTTTTTTTTATTCAGGGCAACGGATTCTGCAAGTGTTTTTTGTAGCCACATTCGCGCAGCCCCGTGGGCCTATCGTATAATGTCATGCTTGAAAAAAAAAAGTATTATTATAATTCGATTGGATAATTATTAACTTTCATCGAAGAGAAAAGAACACCCACTGTCAAAATTTTTCAAATCTCTTTGCTGAATTTCTGATGATGCCATCTAATTTGATATAGAAAAATAAAATTTAGGTTATATAACGACCAGTTGCTTACACACTGTCTTTGAGGTAGATGATCACTTTTGGCTGTTTTGGAATCTGTCCCCCAAAATTACCAAAGTTATATACCCGTACGAAGATTGATAAAAAAATGAAGCAGAACTGCGCAGCACTGTAGATAAGTAGTGCAAGTTCAAGCAGTGCTCACCGGGAATTTTGTACCTACAAACATTCAGCTACAAAATTCCCGGTGAGTACTTTTTGTACTTATGTTCATCATATATATATATATATATATTTGAAGATTGTATCGTTGTTATCTTGAAGTGAAATTTGTGGATTCACCATAAAAATGTTTGTTTAATGTCATGCAGACTTTCTTCATGACAACTTAGGGAAAAGAAACTTTTCCGAAGGGGAATCTCGCGAGATGGCAGAGAGGCATGGTAAGTTCAGTGGTATTAGTAATTATACATATATACATTTTATTATTAGGAGATACAGGTTGACAGTTAGACATTAGGCCTACCACACATAAAAAGGTTTGGAAGGAACAGATGGCCAGACGTGTTTCGCTTGATTGTGTTTCTTGCAAATTTCAGGGACGTTTTATACATTAGCACACACAGCCTTTTACATTCAAGCAGTTTTCCCTACATAAATCAAAAGGGCTTCCTGATAAGAGTGCATTCAATTTTGTTTGTGTGCACACAATATTTTGCTTTAGTTACTCAATTATCTTTGAAATGTATTCAAGAGGACATTTTCATCCATAGGTTGAATTTCTACCATCTACTTTCAATCATATATCTGACAATTATCGAACCACGTTATTTTGAATTTGTTTACAATCAATTCGGGCGTTTCACAATGGTTTTTTTTTGGTTCTTACTGCCTTTGGTTCTTCTGCAACATGTTTTTTTTTTTTTTATTCAGGGCAACGGATTCTGCAAGTGTTTTTTGTAGCCACATTCGCGCAGCCCCGTGGGCCTATCGTATAATGTCATGCTTGAAAAAAAAAGTATTATTATAATTCGATTGGATAATTATTAACATTCATCGAAGAGAAAAGAACACCCACTGTCAAAATTTTTCAAATCTCTTTGCTGAATTTCTGATGATGCCATCTAATTTGATATAGAAAAATAAAATTTAGGTTATATAACGACCAGTTGCTTACACACTGTCTTTTAGGTAGATGATCACTTTTGGCTGTTTTGGAATTTGTCCCCGAAAATTACCAAAGTTATATACCCGTACGAAGATTGATAAAAAAATGAAGCAGAACTGCGCAGCACTGTAGATAAGTAGTGCAAGTTCAAGCAGTGCTCACCGGGAATTTTGTACCTACAAACATTCAGCTACAAAATTCCCGGTGAGTACTTTTTGTACTTATGTTCATCATATATATATATATATATTTGAAGATTGTATCGTTGTTATCTTGAAGTGAAATTTGTGGATTCACCATAAAAATGTTTGTTTAATGTCATGCAGACTTTCTTCATGACTTTCTTCATGGACATTCCGTTGAATGTATTTACCCACCCTGCCCATAGAAGAGGGATGCAAGTTCAGAACCCCTGAAACACTGATAATAAACATGAATGAATAAAAACCATGGTAAGCCAATCCCTATCGATTTACCGAATTTTCCCTCATCTTCTCTAAAGTAGGTTTTGTTTTGGAAAACCACTTTCTTGTCAAGCTTTAAATTCTTACATAGCAATAATTTTAAGAATTTGAATGTAAAAACGTTTGTTACCCTGAAAAGTGTCCATCTTTATTTGTTGAGAAAAAACTTATGTTTTTTTTGTTTTTCTTTGATTATCTCCAACAGATTGGCAGTGGTTATCTAACAGCAAGGCTGTATTTTGATTAAACTTAAAGGGTTAGATTTGACATTTAATTCAATTGGCTTATTCCCTGATAATGTTTTTTCTTTCTTATTTTGTCTTCTTTACAATACTGGGTCCGTGTTCCAATCAGTTTTTCCATTGATGCTCAGACAATGCTGGTCGCTTCCGAGGGCTGATCGTGAATGGGAATTTTAAGACCGATATTGAAATCGAAGTGAAACCAGAAAACTGTGATCTATCTGTGAAGAGTGACACATTCAACGCATGGCACATTTTTATTCTTCAAAGGACGTATAGAAATCCTCAAAATCAATTCTTTTTGTCAGTTAAATGACATAATTGATATTTGTTAGCTCGAACACGGACCTAATATTATCTCCACTGTGTGATGTCTCGTAATGTCTCATAAATCTATGTACAAGTTTTGTCATTCTGTTTTTTTTAATTTTTTTTTAGCATTATCCGCGATGAAAGGCAAAACCCCTATTAAAATATCCACTAACTAAACATCCTTCATGCATTTATCGTACAAGCAGCGCTGGAATATGAAAGCGTTTGTATCCGAAGATTTTTTTGAAAAACAAAAGGAGGTTACTTTCTTAGTTTGCACACTCGTAACCAACTCATTGTGTATTTGAACCAAAGTATTCAACGGAGTGATTAAGGTAAAGATTGATGTCGGTGTTCAAAAAGCTGGGATGCACTGCATTTTGAGGGCGATCGTTGCATTTTGCATTCCAGAGCGTCTGGTAATGTCAACAGCTAAAATGGTTCAATAATACGGAATGACTGGTTCTTGTAATTCTTTTTCTCGCCTAGGACGTATTTTGATGTTATAATACTGTTTGCTTGAAGATGATAATTGACCTAAAAATTAAGAGACAGATTTACAGTATTGTAAAAAACTCAGCCATGTGTACACCATAATATTATAAACGTTCTTCATTGTCGTACAAAAACTTCGATAGGCTTTTCTTCGTGGCCTTTGTTCTTATCCCAGGTACATGTTTACTTTAAAAGATCCGATCCTCTAAAAAAGACTTTGAAATCATTCGTTATGAATTGAACGTTGTTTTTTTTTCTTATCCTTTTTATCCTTCGATGCTGCCTCTTTCGTAAACTTACTGTGACTGATCTGGCTATGTGGCAAATTAAAGGGACTATTGCAAAAATAATTGATCAGTGCCCATGAATTCATTCAAAACGTCTGTCTTTGTAAAAATCATTCGTGTTCTTTGATCGTGTTCAAACCCTTATAATACTTGCCTCATTACTTGCATACTTGAAAACGTATAAACAAAAGAGGGATCTTGAAAATGTAAAAGGGATGCCCTCTTTGTTCACAATCCGTCCGTGGAGGCCTGTGTGTATTTTTGTCCATTTATCATGACCCCACACAAGTAAAGAAGTTCGTCTGGTTTTGAGGATGTGCGAGCCTTTGCCGTCAATATACCGGTTCAAAACACTATTTTGGTGTTCCCTTGTGTTATGCATATATACTTTTTTTCATAACGATAAGAAATAAAAATATATTATTTCTAAATTAAAAAACCGTGCACAATTACAGACATGGAAACGGGTATAGAGATTCCTATTGTCCTTAATGACCGACAATAGCGAAACGAAAGACAGGGAACGGGCTTCTGGTGACATGTGAGACAGGCGCCGTTTTAGAGTCAATATTTAGGGGGGGGGGCTAGCATGGTGGATCCAGAATTGTTTTCAGGGAGGCGTGCTGAAATGTAGACCCGTTATATATTCTCCAGACCTTAAGGCCTCCGAAAATAAATATGTGGGCTGGGGGTGGGGACTCGTGCCATATTTTCAATGGGGAGCGCTGATAAAATCCTACAATCAGGCATACTGTATTAACTAAAAGTGTACAAATGCACACTTCTCACGACTATTTATTTAGGGGAGACCGTTCGCATGTACCTCACATTGTCACATTTTGCTAGTGCATTTTTTTTGGGGGGGGGGGGCTAGACAATTTTTGGGGGGTGGGGGTGGGGGTGGAGGGCTACAGCCCCCCTAGCCCCCCCCCCCCCCCATAGAACCGCTTCTGATGTGAGAATAAAAAGGAGCATTCTCATCATATGAGGGATGCCTGCAAATGGCCGGCTCTATCCCATAATCGGAGGTGCAAACCTGCAAATTGACTCCCATAGACTTCAGTTATAATTACGCGTACTTCAAAAAAATTACTCACAACTCTCCAAGGTGTTTGACACGCCCATTAAATGAAAGCTTATTTCATAACATTTTATTTTCTGTTCATTTTTTGTTCCGTTATCGATAACTTTTGAGAAAAAATTCCGTCCAAACATGATCTTCCCGAAAAGTAGTCATGTGGCCGATCGCCACTTTGAAAAATGATGTCTGCGCTCCATTGCAAAGTAGAGCAATTTTAGGTCGCAATTTCATAAGAATTTTACACAAATAGGAGTTCACACTCCCGTGAACGGTTTCCACTAATCTTTTTTACTTACCGCCAAGTTCATGGCCCACAAAATACTCCAATAGCAAAAGATTTTGAGGATGCACAAATTGTGATTTGGCCCGCGTAGGTAATTCTGGGCCCATTTACAGATCTGCACCCTTTAACACACCCGAAATGTTGTTATTTTTCCCCAAACTACTTTTAAGGCAAACAGTACAGATCCATAAATCATATTACATCAAAATATTTAAAGAACAAATTTTCTGAGTTCGATATTAGACCTGAAAATAGGTCCTCTGTATGCACCGTTACCAGGTGTAGGGCGCCCCCACCGGATGTAAATTGAATTTCCGCTCCATTTAAATCCCAAATCTCCCCCGTCTTTTTTTTTCTACACTGAAAACTTTGTTTAGTCAATCGCTGTGAACAAGTCGTCAAATACCGGGAAAAGAATGAGTAATGCTAGTGATAAGTCAGATGACGATTCATTTTAGGGTCATGACAAATCTAAGTCCATGCAATTTGAATCATATTAATTGCCGGACAAATTATATGCAATGAAGGACTAATTTCAATAACGGATTAATCTACCGAACGTCAGATGAAAAATCTGCATAGTCGAGTCGGATGCATTGACGAAGTATTTTTGACGTGACAAATTCAATGACTAACTTTATTTTATTTTTATTTTATTTTATTTATTATCCACATCCAACAGCAGAACAAACCGCCAATTACAGAGCGAGCCCGCCAAAATATGCAGACAAATTGTTTGACCAATTACGTACGCAGATGATAAATTCCTTAACTCATCTTTTTTTTTAATTTGACAACCAACCGGTTCTTAAAAGAGATTATTCCACATTTTGCCGCAAACCTCGCTAGTATATACACTACCACCATGCAACATTTCAAATCTTATTCAGTCATTTGAATTTCATTTGATTTAATTAATCAGATGTCTATAGAAACGAAGCAGAATTTGTGGAGGAGGCGTTATTAGGCGTTATTAGTTGGTAATATGTTCAATGGGCGTTCTATTTTCTTCCCAAATAGAACTGTCCATAAAAAATTGAAGGATTGCACGATGAAGTTAGCAACAACATAAAGTTAAAGTAGCACCATGTCATAAATTTCTTTTTCAGTTTGTGAGGTTCCGAAAGAACCGGTGAAAGTTCAACGTTTCGGAGAGTATAGGCCGACACTGTCCGACACAGAGTGCTACCGGTACCTTAACTTTATATTAAGGAAATCATTATGGCATCAATTTGGAAGATGGGCGGACCTAGCGTTCAGGAATCGGGAGGGGGTTGAGTGAACGGCAGACCCTGCCAGAGGGTTGCGGGCCATGCCGCCTGTAAAAAAAATTAAAATAAAAGCACATGTAGCATTGAATACAAATATTCCATCCCATTTGATGATTTTTCCCGCCATAATTGATTACAGTCTACCTCACCATAGTGTAATGCAGAAAAGTAAACGTAGCCACGAACCATTCTTTCCTTAGCTCAGAGCAGAATTTTATTATACCATGCAAAACAGAAAAACCAATAAAATATTTTTTTTTTAGATAAGCACATGTTGCATAAACTCATAAATTGATATCTACTGAGTGGCTGCAAGTGCAGCGCAGTAAATATATTGACTAGCTTTCTTTGGGAGCAGGATATCTAGGTAATTAATATTCATGAGAATAAAGCTGGAAAAAAAAACAAATCATTGAAATCATTTTCAGTAAGGATTTGTCAGTGGAAAGTTCACCCTGTTATTTATAACATACCTCCCGATGCTGCAAAAAGTCTGTCGTCATCCTGACGAGAACAACAATATTTTACGTACTTTTATCGAGGAGTACAATAATAAATTAATATAACTTGGAAAAAAATAGAAATATCTTACTATAATCAAAATATTATTATTCAAATGATCAGTGGATGAAGCTTAACACAAAGTTCATGATGACACTATCACTCGAGTGGCAGCTCTTAGCGTCACGTAGAAATTAAAAATTAAAAAAAGAAAAGGACAACCATTTTTTTCAGATTTTCGGTCGGTTTACCCACAGACATACTTTGGACAGTAACAAAATATAATCCGCAAGGTGTGTATAGATGATGACATCATCAGATGCAGAGTTAGTTTAGGGAGAATTTGAAACTGATCATCTTTTACTTGTTTGATAGAAATCTATATTCAATGCCTGGCAAAAACAATTGCTTTTGTCTTCAAGCAAACTTATATCCTCGATCCTGATTGGTCGATCCATGGCAACAACAGTGTGATATTATAATGTATCGCACGGTCCATATTGCACCCTGCGTCTTGCTCTATTCTAAGATGCGAGTGACATTCCAGGTGGATGCGCTAAACCACTTAAAGATTAATGTAAAGCGAGCTAGTTCCAACTTTAATGTGCGTCAAGTTTGCTTGAAGATAACTTCAGCATCGCGCACGCGCACGTGCAACACGGAAAATGTAGTGCGTCTGTGTCCCACATACCACTCGGCATTCGGCCTCGTGGTATGTGGGATACAGACGCACTACAAGATTTCGTGTTCCACTCGCACTCGCGGGATAACTTATAATATAATCACAATTTGGTGATGTAGGCATCTAAATATGATCACCCGGAAGCTAGTTTTTAATTAAATATATAAGTTCAACTTAAAACTTTTGTTTGATTCTTATAATCAAGCGAAAAATTTGCTGTTGGTCAACTGATGAAATACTCAAATTGAGAGATATTCATTTGATTTTGTTTAAGTAATCAAATAAATCTAGAAAATAAGCAGAATTTGTGGGTGAGGCCTCCCAAAACGAACACAGACTGCTGTGACGCGAGAAACAGTAAAACTGTGATCCAGATAGTGTTCTATTTTCCCAAATTTTCATGGGATCACCCATAGAAGGCTACTTTTAATCACACGTAATATTCAGAACAAAATATTGTACTCCATTGTTAAGTGCATTTTTGTGGTTCGCCGTAACCGATTGCAATTGCACATTACCAGCATCTCCTCATGTTAATGCAGCAAATTAATATTTTGTACAGAGACACAATGAACCGTTTTCATATTACCTCCGAGCAGAATTGTATTACTCTCATGCAAAGACTGAGAAAAAAGGAATAAAACATGTATTTTTAGATAAACATAATTATGTTGCATAAATTCCAAGGGCATTAGAGGCACCGTCAAACTCCATACTAGACTCTGCTAACACTGTCTCTATTTTTCAGTAAATATCCATGTGAGCACCAGTATGCGCTTAAAAGGTAGATCATTGTCTCCATATAGAAACCTATTAGCCGAGGCAGCAACAAAGTTCAAACCAGTAAAAAACAGCGATCACACTTTTTTTGGGAGATAAAAACCCGGTCACCGTTTTAGATTTGTAGGCTACGAGTTGTGCAGCGAAACATCCATTTTTCTAACAACTTTTGGTGTTCAAACTGCTGTTACATTATTTCTGCCTGGAATGACATCACAATTCTACTAATAAATATGTAAATTGGCATTAGCATAAAAACCAAAAAGGCGCCAAAGTACTCTTGAAAATGGCAAATCGAAAATTAAAGATGGGGTAAAATGGGACACAAAGATGTATTTCTAACGATTGCATTAAACAAAATTACATTGCATGGACCCTTTACCCCCCAAAAATGTGGGTCCTTTGAGTGAAGAGCAGGTTAATCATCAGGGGGTTCGTTCATGTATGAACGTTCCGATTGACCCAGAGGACGACCTATCATCGACTCATCGTAGAGGGTGACCTATCTCGCACTCTTAAAGGGACATTAAGGCCATGAATGCGCCCAATTGGGCTACTAAACGCGTTTTAAGCGAAACGATATTAAATAGAAAGAGCATTTAAAGTAGAATATAAATGTCCACACAACCATCCTAGTTAAAAACTGGGCGTTTTTGTGTTATTCGTGCGAGACCCATGCAAGAACGAATTTCGGGGTCCCCGAAAAATCAAGCTAGTGCTAGTTGTTATCCAGCCGCACAGTGGTTCGCATTCTGCGGACGTTTAGGAAACAACATTGTTAAACTTTTGTATTATGTACCGCACGCGCTACGTGTACGCTGCATTGTTAATAGACACGACTTGAAATACGTGTGAGTTTGGCACAAAATGTCCGTCGCGTCCGATGTAAACAACCTTTTTTTGTCTTTTCTCGGGAACGGTGAGACATTAAGTTTGTTTCCTTTCAACCAGACCTTTAAAATAGAATAAGTAAACATCCAAAACACGAACTTTTCGGGGATTTCAGGCCGTAATGTCCCGTTAATAGTTTTATTCTCGTTTTGAAACACAATGGCTATCGTTAAGAAATGGTGCGAATATACGGGATACGTACGCGGCTCGGAAAAACGTTGCTTGTTAAATCACCGTTTGTGTGGTTATTTCATCAGGCGCACCATGGCCAAAGTACATTTCATACCAAAATGTTATGATGTAGGCCCATGTGGGTTTGGTGACATAACCACACAAATAGATAACATATACCTAGCTCGTTTTTGTGAGTCGCATACATGTTCGTTCGGTATTACTATTGAGCTTTACTTCTTGTCACTGATAATCACCTATGCGCATGCGTGAATTGATTACAACTTACGAGTAATGCTCCACGGGCGAACATCTGGTATAGTTTCACGCATTTTTTTTTTTTTTTGGGGGGGGGGGGTGGTTTTTTTTATTATTGCCAATGCAGTCAGATGTGTTTCAACAAAACTGGCAATAGATTACTGCTCGCTGACGCTTGAACCAAGCTACTACAAAGACGTGTACTCGGTGCTGTTGTAGCGCGTTCGTTCAGTAGACATCAAGTTGAAAGCTGCAAGTGCATTTCCGATTCTGACTTTGCTTTGGTTTTCAAGTCCGTTTGAATCTGAAATGTAAGCTTTGGATAAACGTAGCCAGATTTGATAGTCAGTTGCTAAGAAAGAAAAGCGTCCTGGTTATTAAATTTGCTCATGATTAACGATAAGCTGTCACTGATATACGTTGACAATACATTTATAAAACGACAATGATATACGCGGTAGGTTACTTTTACCGCGGCGTCTAAGCAAACTTCATAACTGATGTACGTCTAACATGACGAAACAACCATATCATTGCCAATTTCTTACTCTCTGTCTTTTTCTCCCTCGTTTTTCAAATTAGCAAAAATGAAGGTTTACATGTGCCTGGTTCTCCTGATGGTCGTCGGAGGTGCTTTAAGTTTCGCACCAAGAGACGGTAAGTTAGTTGGTTCAATAGTTTTGTCATAATCCCGACGGTCCCACGATATTTGCAAGTATTCTTAAAGCCACATTCGCGCAGCCCCGTGGGTCTATAATGTCATGCTGGAACAAAAATATATTATTGTAACTCCATTGGATAATTATTACTTTTCATCGAAGAGAAAAGAACACCCACTGTCAACGTATTTCTCAAATGTCCTTGCTGAATGTACTATGATGCCATCTAATTTGATTTATAACGACCAGTTGCTTACACACTGTCTTTAAGGAAGACAATCACTTTTGGCTGTTGTGGAATTTATCTCCAATATGTTCCAATTTTCTATACCTATATGAAGATTGTATTGTTGTTATCTTTAAGTGTACTACGTGAATTCACCAGTAAAAATGTTGTTTTTTGTCATGCAGAATCTCTTCAGCGCGTCTTTGTGAAAAGAGTCCTTACCGAAGGCGAAGCTCAAGAGATGGTGGAGAGGGCGGGTAAGTTCAGTGGTATTAGCAATGATACATAATACATTTTATTATTGGGAGATACAGGTTGACATTTTGACGTAGTAGGCCTACTACATAGAACAAGGTTTGGAACAGAGGGACGTTGCAGTGAAGAGTTTCAGTTGATTGTGTTTCTTGCAAACTTCATGGACGTTTTAGGCATTTTCACACACAACATTTCACATCAAGCAGTTTTTCCTACCTGAATCAAAAGGGTTTCCTGATAATAATGCATTCAATTTCGTTTTTGTGCTGACAGTATTTCGCTTTTAGTTAATCTACTTTCTTTGAAATGCATTCAAGAGGACATTTTCACCCATCTCTTGAATTTTCATCATCTGCTTTCAATCAAATATCGGACAATCATCAAACCATATAAGATCTATTATAAATGCTTTAAACCCTTTTTCGAATCGGAAGAAAATCAAGACAACTCTAAAAATAAAACAAAGTGAATCTAATAATTCCAAAACAAGAAATGAAAACAAGAGGTTGGTTTGTTCTTATTGCCTTATTCTTCTCGGAAGACAATCAAGACAACTCTGAAAATAAATCAAAGTGAATCTAATGATTCAGAAACAAGAAATGAAAACAAGAGGCTTGTTTGTTCTTATTGCCTTTTTTTTATTCTTGGAACATGTCTTTCTTGATTCAGGTGAACCTTGCCAATATGGTTTCGAATGCCAAAACCCCGAAGCCTGGTGTGTTTCCCGGCAAAGTACAAGCCAGGGATATTGCTCAGTCTAATGCAAGTCCAGAACCCCTGAAACACTGGCAATCTACATGAATGAATAAAAACCATGGTAAGCCAATCCCTATCGATTTACCGAATTTTCCCTCATCTTCTCTAAAGTAGGCTTTGTTTCGAAAAACCAATATCTTTACAGGCTTTAAATTCGTGCATAACAATAGAATGTTAGTGTACATTGTGAGTAAAAATAAAGAAACCCAAATGATGGGACCGTTGTTTTAGGCCAAAAAGAGTCTCCGGTTTCTGGTATGCGCGCGCGTCGCCGTAGCCATGCGCGTCGGCAAAATCAAAAAGTGGTTTTTTTTAATGTGAGATGATGTCTCAAAACCGCCAAACTCACTGGTTTGACAGGAATCCTGCTGCTGCACTATTTTAACGTGTTTCTAGATGGGGTTACGATCGAGTATAAGCTTTATGTGGCCTCTCTGGGCTCCAACACATTTTGCACTTAATTAAGTCGGGCACCATTTGCTGTCATCAGCCGACATTTAAAGGGAAAAAAAGCAAAAAAAAACACCAAAACCGCGTCGCCGCACCACTTTTGGGGCAAGCTCCACACCAGAAACCGGAGACTTTTTTGGCCTTAGTGAAGTTCTGCATGTAGCAATTTCAAATTCGAGGATACTATATAGTAAATCCCCATTCCTAAGCTTTCTTTTGGTTCAGGAGTCATGCAAATCACTCATGTAATTTTCAAGTTACGGAATTTTAAACACAACCACCGTTTAAGGTTCTGTCCAGGGATGACAAAAAGGTAAGTGTTCTTCCAGCAAAACGAAAACAAATCACATAGGGATGTGTGTCAATTGTTTCGTTTTGCTGAAAGAACGCGCGCCTTTTTTGTGTGATCCGTGGACAAAACTTTAAAACGGTGGTTGTGTTTGAAATTCCGTAACTTGAAAAGTACATGAGTGATTTGAATGATACTTCAACTAAAAGAAGGCTTATGAATTGAGCTTTTAAATGCTAGAGTTTGAAAGTGCTACATGCAGAACCTCACTAAAACGGTAGTCCCGTCATTTGGGTTTCGTTTTTTTTTACTCGCCCTGAAAAGGGACATGCATCTTTATTCCTTGAAGAAATCATGGTATTTTTGTTTTTCTTTGATTATCTCCACAGATTGACAGTGGTTATCTAACAGCAAGGCTGTATTTTGATTAAACTTAAAGGTTAGATTTGATATTTAATCCGATTGTCTTATTTTCTGATACGATGTTTTTTTTCTTCTTATTTTTACATTACTTGGCTCGTGTTCCAATCATTTTTGGGGGGTTTCCTTTGCATAGACTTGCAAATTATTGGTAAAATCCACTACTACAATATCCATTAATTTCCTTCCTAGGATATAGCAAGGTTTACATCCGAGAATTTGATTTCGTAAGGCTTGTCCGTATTCAGAATCTGCGATATATAGCAATCGAGAGCGATCGTTTATATATTTTTTTTGCATTCCACAATATATAGTAACAGCAACATTATATTATACAGTACAACAAACAAGCAGGCATATGATGTTACGCCCAAACTGTCATATCGTCCCATCTGTCCCAACTATATGGATCCGACCAGTTAAGTCTGTCCAAACTATATTTGGGGTATTGCAATGAGGCTTAACGGACATATATTATGTTTGCATCCGAGAATTGCATTCCACAATATATAGTAACAGTAACCTTATACAGTACAACAAACAGGCATATCATGTTACGCGCAAACTATCGTATCGTCCCATCTGTCCCAACTATGGCTGGGACCATTTAAGACGGTCCAAACTATATTTGGGTTTTTTGGCAATAGCTGAGGCGTAACGGACATATAGTTCTAACACGATTGTGTCTTTTGTCTCCTAGGACGTATTCCGATTGTGTACTGTTCGTTTGCTAATATGGGAAACATACTTTAGTGAAATGAAATACACAGTCATGTGCAATGCATTGTTAAAAAAAAATAACCACTCGGATCGGCTTTTCTTTATTGAACATTTTAGTCTATAGTCTATTAAATCGCGATTTCTGTGAAAGATCCAATCCTTCAAAATGGACATTGAAATAATTCGTTATATAGTAACTGAACGTAGGCTACTTCTTATTTCTTTTTCATTATTCAATTCTTCCTCTTTCGTAAACTTACTGTGAATGATATAGCCATGTGATAAAATAAAGGGACTCTTGCACAATAATGTATCAGTGCCCGTGAATTCATTCATGTCTTCTGTTTCTGTAATAGTCATCCATGTTCCTTGATTGCGTTTTCAAACCCTTCATCACCTCATTACTGCATACTTGAACATTATAAACAAACCAAAAAAGAAATGAGAAGGTAAATGGATTACATGTTCTTCTTTTGAGGCCTGTGCAATTTTGTTTCTAGTAAAGAAGTGCGTTTGAAAGATGTGCAAGCTTAATCAGAAGATGGAAAACGGATGTCGTTTGAGAAAAAAAAGATTCACAGGCGGGATGCCGATCCCTCTCCCTCCGGGAATCGAGCCTGTAGGCCTATTTACCGGTGTGCACCCAGAGGGATGGTGGACTCAAAGATCAAAGAAGACCCTTCCCAGCCGCGGCCAAGGCCTGAGAGCAAATTTTTTTTTTGTGGCCTGAATAATCGCAAATTAAGTACCCATTCGTTTCGAGGTTCAACTCAAAAATTGCACGGACATTATAAGCTCACCTCTTTAACACTTCTTAAATAAGGCTTAATCCCATGGTTGTGAGTGTGAACAAGGGAATTACGCATTTGACAATATTAAAATGCGAGAATAACATTCTCAAATTATGTGGGATATCCTTATACAAAATGTAACAGGCCGTTATCGAATTGCTGGCTCTATCTCATAATTTGCGAACACAGGAGTGTTCAATATACAGCTTGTAAAGAGCGCCCTCACTGTGGACAGGTTTTGATTACCCATGCTTTTCACAAAGGAACAAATACCTATCCGCTGTGAACGGACGTGTCTGAGCTGGTATAGTGCCCTCTCGTGACAATGATTCTAGAAAATTCCATCGTGATTCTCGTTCTGTTCATGTGTTCCAAAAAGTCCGAAATTGTCGCAATTTCGTTTTTTAATCAATCTTAAAAAACCCAGGTTTGTAAGATCCTAGAGTAGAAACTTAACTGCCACGGGCGGATCCAGGAATTTTTGCGGGGGGATGGGGGCGCTGTTCAAATGCAACGATTATTAACACTAGATTACGGAATGGTGTACAAATACCCATATCTAAGCTGCCTCTGTCCGTATTTTTAAAAGCGCACATTATATGTACCAGTACAATTTTTTTTTTTGGGGGGGGGTGTCAGACCAAAAGGGTTGGGTCGCATTATTATTTAAGGAATTTCTATGAAAAACCCACGTTTTTTGACAGATTTTTTTTAAAACCACCCCCCCCCCCCGGATCCGCGCCTGTATACAACACAACTTTTTTCATGGCTACTGCAACTTAAAACCTTGCGCAGAGTGACCTGCTGCCCTTTGGGCCCCAGGTAACCGAATTTTTTGAGAAAAAAAAAATTTGAGGGCCAATGACGGTCACCTTCCATCTAATCCTCATTCAACCCTTGGTTGGACTAGACCTTAAAAAGAAACTTTTGGTGCGCTTTTTTTTCCGTGTAGCTCATGCCGACATGTTCAGGGCCATGCTGCAGCTGCCCAACGGCTACGACCGGGAGTTCTACTCTGCCTCACTGGCCCAACACCAGCTGCAGTTCATGGAGCGAATACCCGGCCACGTCAAAGCCCTGATCCGCCTGGTGAAGTACTTGGCTTACGAGTGCCTCCCGGACAAGCTGCACAAGTCCTACCCACTGGAGTTGATCACCGTCTACCGCTGGGAGAACGCTGGTAAGCCCCAGCGCATCAGCAAGGCCCAGGGGCTGAAGGACGTGCTGCAGGTGCTCACCAATTTGAGAGGGTTGCGGCACTACTGGACTTACCTTTACTACGCTGCACTGGCGAATCAGGCCATCACCCAGCTCGGCTATATCAAGTAAGTTTAGCAGATGTGCATCCTACATCATAACCCCTGCAAATTTGGACGGCGCAGTGTTTTTTTTTTCAGGTAATGCCAAGCAATCTGATGTCGATCGTCGTCGTCCAGTCTCAAGTCAAATCACAAGCTGTGCTTTGGCAAATAGACTGTGCCAATGGCGTCCTTTATTTGAAACTGTTCATCGCGTGTGACCTGACTTGTTATTTGACTTGTGATCGATGATAACTCTGGAAATGGGGGGGGGGGGGTATATCAGTGGGAACTGTTACATAGTTATGACTTGGGTTTTTCTTTTTAAAGAAAAGAACATTTAGTTTTCAAATATCCATTCACTTTAGAAAACCGCTGATTCCTTCTTGCCAAGTTATCAAAAAGAATAGCCATTCCGTTTGGCAATGCCTCCAAATGGATTTCGACTTTTCCCATGATGCAGTGCGCGATAACTGCCTCGTTTTCCATACAGTGAAACATTCCAATGTTGAGCACAATGATCTCGATAATCATAGCCTTAACATTGTGCTTGAAACTAGTCATGTTTTTCGCTTCTCCTTTTTTATCAACTTTAATGCAGTCCAATAGTTTTGGACCCAGCCAATCCAACCAACAACGCGTGCTGGGTTTACCAGAAGGGCAACAACATCATAATGATTGAGGAAGCTGCCCGTGCCACCCTGAAGTTCAATCTTCTCAAGGACGTCGTTGTCTCTGCCAACTGGAAAGGTTAAATAGCGACCAATAATCGCCGGAAAAAGAAAGAGAGAAAGAAAAGCCGGAACAATTCTAAAATGGTGACCGGGTTTTTAGCTGATCCCCAAAGTGTGTATTCGCTGTTAAACTCTGTTTGAACTTTGTTGCTGCCTCGGCAAATATTGGTGTCCATATGGAAGACTTGATCTACTGCTTAAGCGCATATCACGTGCTCACAAGGATCCTAACAAATAGCGTCAGTGTCAGTAGACTATAGTATGGAGTTAGACGGAGCCTTTAATGCCCTTAGAGTTTATGCGACATATGTTCATCTAAAAATACATGTTTTATTGCTTTTTTTAGTCTTTGCATGGGCGTAATAAAACTCTGCTCTGTGGTAACGAACAATAATTGTTCGATGCTACACTGTTCGAAATATTAATTTTCTGCATTAATTAGCATGGGCGGAAAAATGGCAAGGTACAATTGCAATCTTTTATGTAGAACAGACAAACAAAACTCGACTACAATATTCGTATTTGAATGCCAAGTGATCCCATAAAATTCTATTTGGAAAATTGATAACGGCACAGTGTTTCAATGCCTAAATCACAAAATCTTGGTGTGAACAATTCTTTTATTAGGCACTGAATGATTAATTGCAATTAAACACGAAACATTGAGGTGTTTAGTTTCGAATTCTCCCTTTACTAACTCTTCGTCTGGCGATGTCAGCATTTAAAAACTTTGCACAATTTCGGGAAATGAATGTCATTTGCTTTACAAATGTTAACTTGACGCTAAGAGCTATACCTATCGTGAGATGACGTCATCATGATCATTGTGTTTGGCGTCCCCCACTGAGCATTAACATAATTTTGTCGATTATTGTAAAATGTTTATGTTTCTCAAGTTACATATATTCATTTATGTAACTATTTCTGGGATTGTTTGCATTATCACGGGAGGTATATTATAAATAACGGGACAAATTGTCCACTAAGACAATGATTTCAATGAATTGTTTTTCCAGTTTTACCCTCAGGAATAGTTATTACATTGATATTGTTCTAAAAAAAAAACTACTCTGCGCATTTCTTGTGCTGCACATAATATATACTCATCACACATTGATATAATACATCAATAACGTCGTTGGAGGTTTATATTCAGCATATGCTTATCTAAAAAATAATTTAATTTATTTGTTGTGTATTTGCATGGGCATAATAAAATTCTGCTCTGAACTACCGAAAGAGTGGTTCGCGACTACACTTGTATGGAACATTAATTTCCGCGTTACGATATGAGAGGATAACTGGTGTTGTACGATTGCAATCAATAATGACGAAAAAAATGCTCAAATCGACTAAATTAACACTGTGTGATTTGGCAGCATACTCCCTTGATCACAGTTTTTCGCACGCAGCGTCGAAGCAGTCTGCTAACAGTGGAGCACTCAAAAAGAGGGGGGGGGGGGCTCAAGAGGTTGTACAAAAAAATTGACAGTGGTGATATGAATGCAGCCAACTTCCAAGTAGTACAAAAGGGGTGTACATGGCGCCACTAACGTCAAAATAGTCCTTCCCCCCCCCCAAAAAAGTAATGATTAAATGTATGAAATACATTTTTTTAGCGGCCAAACATTTTCTGGCAACATTTGTTAAAAATTAGAAATTCAAACTTTAAAACAAAATTGTGAGTCCCCCACCCATCCACTTTCTGGGTGCGCCACTGATGCGCCAATGCCCAAAGCGACTGGTACAAACATCGTGTACAAAGTACATGCAATTTTTGGGATGGAACAAGAAGAAGTAGAGGACGAAGAAAGAAAACAAATCAGAACCCCCCTACTAAAAAAAAAAAGAAAAAAGGCGTTTTTGAATAAATTCATGTGCACTGATCAATTATTTTGCAAGAGTCCCTTTAATTTGCTTCATAGCTATATCAGTCAAAGTCAGTTTAAGAAAGAGGAGGAAAAACTTGAAGGAATGTGAAATAGCCTACGTTCAATTAATAACCAATGATTTCAAGGATTTTGTTAAAGATTGAATCTTCATTTACAGCAATCACAAACTTGATAAACTCCATGATGACGATTAATAATCTGAGCTTTTGTAAAAATGAAGACAGTTTGAAATTACGATGTCTACATAAAACACTACCAAAATTCTGTTTCTTAATTGAGGTCAATTATCATTTTCAAACAAACAGTATTCAAAATAAATACGCCCTGGGCGAGAAAAAATACAATAACCAGTCGTACTGTATTATATAATTATTTTCGCTGTTACGCTCCAACCAATGGCCCCAGCTATAGTTGTTACAGTTTAGTGAGATCGACGGGGCGTAACATCGAAGTGTCACGTTTTATGATGGTATTGCTATGTTGTCGCATTACTACATGTTCTTGAATGCAACATTCGTCGATCGCTCTCAAAATGCAGTGTTATGTATATCAGCTTTTAGAACAGGGGCGTTGATCTAACCTTAAATAAATATGGAGGAGAAACTCCATTAATAATCAGGCTCAAATACACAATGCTTTATCAGGGGCTTGTGTTCTGCCCTTTCCAAAAACAAAATCCTCGGATGCAAAGGTTTCCTTATCCCAGCGCTGCTTATACGATAAATGCATGATAATAATAATACTAATAATTATAATAAGGATTACCGGCAATGAGGTAATAGGGAGACTTTTCCATAGACTTGTGCACAAAAATGTTCCGGTTTAAATGTGCCCTAACCCGATATTCCCTGGTCCTTTTTCCACGAATTTCGGTATGTTTACTAATTAGACCACGAGCAACAAATATAACCCAATTGCGACTGCAAAATGTTGTCTCTAAAGGGGGGCTGCGCAAATAGGGGGACACCTAGGTGTCTCCCTATTAAGCCCGTGTCTCCCTACTACCGAATTTTCTACGCTAACGTGTCTCCCTAATGGTACATTTGTAGGAATAATAATAATAATAATAATAATCGGCATTTAAGAACGCTCTTTTTAGCAAACTAAATCACAGCGCTGGCAAATAAAGAACAACTAAAGTAAACAAGAGCTGTTTCGGTGTGTTAATAAATATTTAAGTTAAATAATAAAAACAGGTAGCATAGACAATGAATTGGTTATTGGTGGAATAAATGGGTCTTGATCAGCTTCCTGAATTGCTCGAGAGATGTGACATTTTGAATGGAAAAGGGCAGACTATTCCACTCCTTCGCTGCAGTGACCGTAAAGGTTTTGTCACTGGCCAGCTTTGTTGAGCGTACGTGGGAAAGTCAGACGCAAAGGATTAGATCTAGAACGGAGGTTTGGTCTGATGTTTGAAATAGGATTAGTAAACAATCCAAAACATGAAATTATCGGGGATTTCAGGAGCTAGTGCCCCTTTAATAAACGAAAAGAATTGATCTGGATAATATGCGTCCTTTTAAAAATAACGATGTGCCATGCGTTGAATATTATGCCTCTTTTATACGAATAACTCACAGTTTTCATTTCGATTTCAATGTCGTTCTTAAATTCACAATCATGCATGGGCGTCGCTGGGCAAAGGAAGGAGGGGCAAGGCGGGCACTTGCCCCCCCCCCCCGAAAATAAAAAAAAGGAAAGAAAAAGGCCAAAAAAAAAGGAAGAAGAGCTGTGAAGTCATATTTGCTATTAGTTTAACAACACACATTTAACAAAAATGGGCAGCTGTACAAGCATAACATTCACTGCGTGGACTTCCGAACAAAAGAGGTCCACATAAACCAGGTAGCAGCGACTTTGTGTGGACTTGCCCACGTCCACACAAGGTTTCCGCCCTCTCTGCAAAACAGGTTTAGAGGCATTTTTAGGCTAGGTTTATCTGTGGCAAAATGAAGAGAAACACTATAAACGGAATCATAGAAAACAAATTGGGTTTGAAAGAGTTTTAACAGTATGATTAAAATGAGGGTTTTTTCACAAGTTTTGTCTTAGCTGCACGAAAAGAAAGGAATGTCCATACTAAGTATGTAACGTCAACATGTATGCAGGGGTGTCAATAGGGGTGGGGTTGGTAAGTGTCCCCCACACACCCTCGAAAAAATGATAAATTGAGAATATGCCAGAGAAACTACAAGGATTTAAGGGAGAAAGTGTGCTTTTACCCCCCAAGAAAAAAATACTGGCGACGCCCATGCAATCATGATAAGCTTTCAAGATCAGCACTGTCAAGGCATCAATGTAATAACTGGCTGCTATACGATACCAGTATTGTTAAAAAAGAAGTCTTATCAGGAAAAGAAATTGAAATAAAAAAAGCCAAATCTAACCCTTTAAATTTATTCAAGATGAAGCCTTGCTGTTGGATAAACACTGTCAATCTGTATGGAGATAAGGGAATATAAAAATACCATCTTGTCATCAAATACAGTAACGAAGGAAACCTTTTAGGGCACCAAACGTTTAGACACCAATTATTCTAAATATTTTGTTTTTCTATGCACGAATGTAAAGCTCGTGAAGGAAGTAATTTTCCAACACAAGGTTTACAATGATAAAAGATGTGAAGGATAGTTCAATAAATCCTTTTCCGGAGCCACAAGGGAATAAAGACTACTTGTTGCAACTGATAATGTAGTTACCAACTGATAACGTGTCAACAACCAATAATGTCACACAAATTGAGCGATATTGTATCACTAATCGATAATGTAACAAACAAATGACGGGTATAGTAAATGTATACATTATGAGTCAATATTTGTTACATTATTAGTTAGGACCGATCATTCAACAATAATTGACTGATAGTGTAGCATATTTTACTACAATATCAGTCAATTTTGTGTTACATTATCGGATACAGTATCGGTCAATTTACGTGGCATTATCGGTTGGTGATACATTATCCGTTGGTCACTACATGATCAGTTGTAACACTGATGATCAACATGTCATCATTCATTTTCTTTCCAGTTTTTGGTGGGTTGACCATTGACTTTTCGAGATATTCTCACCCAAAGAAGACGACCCCCATTTTCCCAAAAGCGGAAAAGTAGCCATCTTGAAAAAACTATCCCTCCACAGCATGGCAAAATAGCGCCACTTTTGAGCCCAATTGCA